AAAATGAAACTAGACCACCAACTTATACCATATACAAAAATAAACTAAAAATGGATAAAAGACTTAAATGTAAGTTGTGAAACCATAAAAATCCTGGAAGAAACCATAGGCAGCAAAATCTCAAACATCTTTTGTAGCAATATGTTTACAGATACATCTCCTAGGGCAGCGGTCACCAACCTTTCGGGCCTCACAGACCGCCAGTGGTCCACGGACCACCGGTTGGTGACCACTGTCTTAGGAAAAAAGAAACTAAGGAGAAAATAAATAAATGGGACTACATCAAAATAAAAGGCTTCTGCACAGCAAAAGAAACCATCAACAAAACAAAAAGGGAGCCCACTATATGGAAGAATATATTTGGCAATGATACAGCTGTTAAAGGGTTAATATCCAAAATATATAAGGAACTTATACAACTGAACAATCCAATTGAAAAATGGGCAAAGAACCTATCCACTGAGCCAAACCGGTTTCGGCAGGGGCAAAGAACCTAAATAGACACTTCTCCAAAGCGGACATACAAACAGCCAAGAGACATACGAAAAAATGCTCAAAGTCACTGAACATCAGAGAGATGCAAACTAAAACAACAATGAGGTACCATCTCACACCTGTCAGACTGGCTACCATCAACAAATCAACAAACGACAAGTGCTGGCCAGGATGTGGAGAAAAGGGAACCCTTGTGCACTGCTGGTGGGAATGCAGACTGGTGCAGCCACTGTGGAGAACAGTATGGAGTTTCCTCAAAAAGTTAAATATGAAACTGCCATTTGACCCAGTGACCCCACTTCTAGGAATATATCCTAAGAATCCCAAAACACCAATCAGAAGAATGTATGCAGCCATATGTTCATAGCAGCACAATTTACAATAGCTAAGATCTGGAAACAGCCCAAGTGCCCATCAGTAGACGAGTGGATAAAAAGCTATGGTACACTTATACCATGGAATACTATGCAGCAGTAAAAAAGAAGGCTCTCTTACCCTTTGAGACAGCATGGAGGCACCTGGAGAGTATCATGCTAAGTGAAATAGGTCAGTCAGAGAAAGACAAGTATCCAATGATCCCACTCAAATGTGGAATCTAATGAACAAAATAAAGATGAACAGAGTGGATCCACAGACATGGAAGCATGGAACAGAGTGCAGGATCTCGGAGGGAAGGCAGGTAGGGTGGGGGGTGGGAGGTAATCAACCAAAGAGCTTGTATGCATATATGCATAACCTATGGACACAGACAATAGGGTGGTGAGGGCCTGGGGCAGGGTGGGAGTGGGCTGGAGGTGGTCAATGGTGGAAAAAAGGAGACATATGTTATATTTTCAACAATAAAGATTTAAATATATGTATGTATATATAAACAATAAAATGGCAATCCTATATAATAAAAGGCTAATATGCAAGTTGTCCCCTCGACCAGCCTGCCAGCCGCCCGTGGCCCTTCCCCCCGGCCCACCCAGCCTGATATCAGGCCCAAAGGGTCATCCTTAATCCCTTACTTTGTCTCTAATGCCATCTATATATATAAAAAGCCAGTGACCATCACGCCATAACAACCGGTCACTATGATGCCCTCTGAGGCCAGTGAACCTGCCTGATGGGGGGGGGGGCCAGCCAGCCAACTTCCCGTGGTCCCCCCCTACCCCCCTGGCCAGCCAACCTCCCAGGCTCCTTCCCCCATATACCTCAATGGCCAGCTAGGCTGAGGGACCCCACCTGTGCATAAATTCGTGCACCAGGCCTCTAGTTCCAAATCACTGTGGATGGTGTTAGAAGGGTATGATATTTATAAGGATGATCATTTAATAAATTTTATGTCTAATCACTGGGGTGTAAACATGAAACTAATATAATATTGTATGTCAACCGTAATTGAAAAAAAAATAAAAATAATGAATTTTAAAAATAAAATATCTTTGTTAATCACAATAGAATAAAATGAAATCAATAGCCCTGGCTGATGTGGATCAGTGGTTAGAGTGTTGGCCCACCACAGGGTCACAGGTTCGATTCCCAGTCAAGGGCACATTCCTGGGTTGTAGTTCGATCCCCAGTCCCAGTCGGGGCACATGTGGGAGGCAACCAATCAATGTTCTCTCTCACATCAATGTCTCTCTCTCTCTCTCTCTCTCTCTCTCTCTCTCCCTCCCTCCTTTCCACTCTCTCTAAAAAGTCAATGCAAAAAATATCCTCAGGTGAGGATTAACAAACAAACAAAAAGTCACAAAGGAAACTAGGAAGTACCTTGAGGAAAGTGGGAGTGAGCACAGCGTCCCCCGTGTGGATGGCCGCCGAGCCGCCGAGAGGGCCGCTTGGAGCTGCGAGTGCACACGGGAAGAAGGAGAGGTCTCAGCCAACAGCCCGCCCAACACCTCACGAAGCTGGAAGAACGAGAACGAAACCCAAAGCAGCTCCAAAGGAGAGGACAGTAGAGATTAGAGTATAAGTGAAACAGAATAGAAAAACTATGACACAAATCAACACAATTAAGAGTTGTTTTTTTGAAAAGAATCAATTAAATTGACAAACCCTTAGTTAAATTAATTAAGAAGAAAAGAGAAGACTCAAATAACTAATATCAGAAATTGAAAGAGAAAACATGACAATTGATGCCACAGAAATAAAACGGACTATAAGAGAATACTATGAATAATTGGATACCGTAGAAGAAATGGATAAATTCTTTGAAACACAAAACCTACCAAGACTGAATCACAAAGAAACTGAAAATCTGAACAGACCAGTAATGAGTAAAGAGATTGAATAAGCAATTAGAGACTTTCCAACAGAAAAAACCCAAGTGGCTTCACTAGAGAATTAATAACACTGGAGAACCATTTGTCTCAGATACTTCCAAAAAGTTGAAGAGACACGTCCAAGTTTATTCTGTAAGACAAGCACTACCCTTATACCAAAGCCAGACAAAGATGTCACAAGAAAAGAAAACTATCCGTCATTATCCCTGATGAATATTGATGCAAAAATCCTCAACAAAATATTAGCAAATTGTACTCAGTAGCAAATTAAAAGGATCAGCCTGGCCAGTGTGGCTCAATGGTTGACTGTCAACCCATGAACCAGGAGATCACGGTTTGATTCCTGGTTAGGGAACATGCCCAGGTTGTGGGCTCGATCACCAGTGTGGGGCAGGCAGGAGGCAGCCGATTGATGATTCTCTCATTGTTGATGTTTCTATCCCTCTTTTTCTCTCCCTTCCTCTCTGAAATCAGTAAAAACATGTTTTTAAAAAAATAAAAATTAAAGGATCATCTACCATGACCAAGTGGAATTTATTTCTGGAATACAAGAATGGTTCACTAGATGAAAGTCAATCAATGTAATACAGAATGAAGGGAAAATTGATACAGAAAAATCATTTGACAAGATGCAATATCCTTTTGTGACAAGAACAATCAACAAATTAGGACTAGAAGAAGGAAACTAATTCCACATAATACAGGCCAATCTGACATGGATGTAGACCTGGGTGGCCCCCCCATGCCAGCACCCCTTCGTCCCCGCTGGGTGGGAACTGGAGGCACAGGGTCCCGGCCCCTGGTCCAGAGCCCCGCCCTGAGGGTTGGGCCCGTGTGCAATAAATGGGCCGACGTGCGACAAATCAGAATCCCATGATGAAGAACGTAGACCCGTTCCCCGCAAGGCCATGTAACATGCCATTTTCATGTCACAGACACAGAGCCCTGCCCTGGGAGCACCCGGAGGCTGGGTGGGCAGAGGACCACCCTGAGGCCTGCACTTGCCCAGGACCTGGGACAGGCAGTCAGCTTCCCTGGAGAGGCCCAGGTGGTGGGGCCCACAGTAAACACAGCATTTATTTATTTTTATTTTACGATGTTTTGGCATTTTGGGGCCTTGCTCACCCTGT